TGGCAACCTATTGAGCGACGTAGATCGAAACCATTCGTAACCCGCAAGGACTAAGGCGCTAGAAAGCGCGAATTTGAATATATAAACACGATCTTTTTCGTGCGCTTATACTATGTTAAACCTCAAGACCGCAGTTGTCGGCAAGTCTGTTACGCCTAACAAAGAGTGTACGCTACAGAGCGAACGCTCACAAGGTTCGAGCAAACAGTCAGAGCCAGAACAAATCGTCCGGCAAAGCATAACCACTAATTATCCGATCTATGCAGTTGCCAATGAATTGAACTATAAATTTACAGGCCTTACCTGCTGCAGTTACAGCTAAGTAGCGGAGGCTAAACAAGCTCGTGTACCGATGAATAAGTGAACGAGAGAAAGTTACCCTGGAGAACAAGTTAATTAGCTTGCTCTCTTAATACGGTGTTTTCAAGCACCTAAGAATGATAAAAATGACCCGAATGGTCAAAAAGAGTGCTTCTACCTATTAAAATAAAAAGGCATAAAGTTAGTTGAGTTTATTTGAGTTAAATCTAGGTAGAAGCACTGATAATAATATATAATATTATGTAAAATAAAAATTTTAAAATATAAAGTATATTAAATATAAAATATAATGTATAGAAATTATATAACTATTAGATAAAAAATATATAAATTATATAAAGATATTTCAGTTTAAGATATTTAAATTTAAAATATATAAAATTTAAAGATATTAATTAAAATAGATCTGTTAGAGGTAGCTTTAGTTATAAATAGTGAAATTTAAATTTAGTTAGAGTGAGATATAAAAAGTTAAATTATTTATCACCTCAATGTAACCAACCTAGGATCGTTATTATGGTCGCACTGTCCAGATCTCTAGATCAGTCGTCAATGCTAGAAAATTAGCACGAGATTACTACAACACCAATATAAACAGGTAGCAGAGTCTCGATTTCGACTATGGTCAAAAAGCAAGATTACTTCCTAGTGGTAAAGATGCTAACTAGTTTCTACCTCTACGAGTTAAAGTTGAAGCATGTTCTTTCACCTTGGTGAATAATTTATATAACTATATAAAATATATAAAATTATAAATATAAAATATATAAATTATTAAAATATAAAAATATATATTAATTATTTCTTTGAGCATCGGTGACATTATCGTAAACGAAATGATTATATCAACTTGAGTCTATTAATATATAAAGTTAAGCTGATTATTGTATTAAATTAAGCTAATCATTGTCTTCTAACATTAGCTACAAAGCTAAAATCAAAATTACTTCCTAGTTTTGATATCATTACTAGTAACTTCCTGTTAGTAAACAGGTTGTTTCTCCTTGTAAAAGTTATAACTAACTAACAGTCTAGACATGTTTAGCTAGTTAATTATAACTTTTACAAGGAGAAACAACCTGTTTACTAACAGGAAGTTACTAGTAATGATATCAAAACTAGGAAGTAATCTTGGTTTAACCATAGTTAACATCTAGACTCTGCTACTAACTTAATGTGTAGTAATCTAGTTCTTGTAGCATTAACGATTGGTTAATAGATCTGGACAGTGATAATCTGGCACCTTATTAAAGGTCATCATTGAGGTAGCGAATTCTTTAACTTTCTATTTTGCTATATAAATATTTATAACTAAGCTACCTCTAACAGATATATTTTCATTTGTGATAGTCGGTTTACGTAATTAATTCAACCGACTAGAATCTTCCTGGTCTTTTAATCAGTTGTCTAAATACAGACCAATTAACTTATGAGGGCTGATATAAAGAAGTGAAATAGCAATTATGGGAAGTTTTAGCTTTCTCCTAACGAAGTTGAATTTATTAAAGTCAAGCCTATTAGTTCGTAAGACGATAGACCAAAGAGAGTAACTCTAATTTGTAGCTAAAGTTATTGAGGTAAACTATAAACCTAAGCTTAAAGATCGAAAAATGAAATAAAACAGTTAAGCTGTAATTTTACTGTAATACTAAAGTTTATACACTGAAGCTCAAAATCGTTTATACACAATGGTAGTAAGGTAAAACCCTTATTAAACTCATCTAGGGGACTAGCTGGCTTTAGAAATTAAAATATAAATAATTTAATACAATATAAATTAATAAAATCATTTAAATCAAAATGAAATAACTTAGCTAGTACTTTAGTACGATCCTTAGCTTGGAAGGTGCCATAATCACTTACATTTTTTTGAAGGTACCATAACCACTTAATAATAATATATTTTATATCTTAAATTAAAATAATTAATATGTTTATATCTTGAATAATAATAATTTATATCTCAAACTAATTTGTTATATTTGAGTGCTTCTACCTAAATTTAACTCAAATAAACTCAACTAACTTTATGCATCCTTATTTTACAAGGTAGAAGCACTATTTGTGATTTTAAAGAGCGATTTTTTAATTCTTAAGCTCTCCAAAATCACGTATAAGAGCAGAGAAATTTGCTCGTTGTTATTTGCTCGTCCTGCGCGGTCATTTAACTTAGACATTTCATCTATCTTAACTTTTAGGGCGGGACGTGCGATGCATCTTTAACTTGACTGCGTCTGCAGCAGGTAAGACCATGGTTTATATAGTTGTTAACTATGGCGACTGCATAGCCTGGTGCTATTAATGGTAGCATTAGGGACGTGTTCTGTCACGAACCTCGGGCTGTTAGTCAATCTTGGGACTTTCGTCAAGTTAAGTACATTCTTCGTGTTCGTAAGGATTAGGCCGACAACTGCCGTCCCCAGGGGCATGTTCGTAAAATTGGTTTAAAAAGATCAGTCATATATATAAAATTCGTGCTAACGAACGCCTTAGTCCTCGAGGGTTCAGGATGGTTTCGATCCACGGCGCTCAAAAGGCTTCCATCCACAGACGGATGAATGCCTGAAAGCAGACTACTATTGTCTCGGGTCATGTCACCCTCTACTATTCGATGGTGTTAGCAAACGTATATCCTTGAAGTCCTCTGCTTAGGCGGATAATGTACATTAACCTAAGACCAACATTAGTATCCGATTTGATACTTGGAATCGTTTAAATAACTATTTACCAACCTAAGATCGTGATTATGGTACCTTCCTGAGACAATGTAAGGGTCGAGAGTCACGCATTTCTGTGGAGAGTAGCAGGTTGCAATAGCTAACTAATTAAAACAAATTTGAGTTATGTTAGAGACGCACGTGTCGAAAGACATCCTCTTAAAACTGGTAAAAAGGCGTTCGTTTGTAAAGTCCTTAGACAGGTGCTAACTTCCCTGTATTCATTGGTACTCAGTTTAGCTAACTAGTTCGTTACGAGAATTGCTCGCTCTTGAAATGACTTTATGAAAGTATTAAACAATACCACACAAATAGATCTCATACAAACTATTTTACTTGTTTGACTTCTTCACGTTGAGTACTAACCTCGCCTTTCGGAGACGCTCCTTAGTGAAAATCAATGAAAGATCTGACGTAATTAACTTGAACACTAGATAAATAGTTAATGTAACCAGCTAAGTTGCTAGATTAAACTTCTGTTAAGTTAGTACCAAAGACGAAAGCAAACGGAAGGAATTGTCTAGCAACGAGTGATACTATACTTTAGCTTCTTCCTTTGGATCCGAAGGATGCATGCTTGACCTTACCTTATTGTTTAGGCATGTAATATCGTGCTTATACTAGTATGATAAATACTATCGCATACGCCGCGGCCTTTATCGCATTACTTTACTTGTGCTATCTTGTCGTTGAGGTATGCTCTTGGTACTATTGTATTAGTACTAGTACTGTATAAAAGCTATAGTGCTAGTACTATATATACTAACGCGGTCGCTCTCCTTGAGGATTCCTGTGGGTTACGATCTATGATTGGCGAATGGTTATCACTCGGGGACACAAGGTAGATGCAGGAGAACCTGTCTTGGGTCATCTCACCCTCTACCGTTCGGCGGGGTCGTGTGCGAAGTCACAGTAAGCTATAACACTTGTCATTGCTAGTATCCTTTTGATACTTGACCCACCTATAACCATTTTCAAACAACGTGGTTATGGTATCTTCCTGAGGGTTGCCTTGGTCTTCGAAAGCTTGTTGCTTAACGCACAGGGTCGAAAGCTCTGTCTTAAAAATGGTCCAAAGGCCTCGGTGTCTTACTCCCGCGGCAGGTTTTTTCATGCCTATATCCAAAGGTAGAACATTATGGTTAGTAATAAGCGTGGACCGGGCGCCTTCGTGTTCATTAACGAGACCTGTTTGACTCTAGGATTGACTTTCGTAGCTTTCAAACAAATTGAGCAACGAGGCTAATTAACCTTGAGCTTTTCCGTAAAAGCTGACGCGTTGTATACTGGCATTGCCTCTTAATGCTATTTATTTTGGTAAGTAGCTAAAAAGAGCCTGTTGAGTCTTGGAGTAGTGCCCTTGGTGAGACTTTCTAAGTTGCCAAAGTAAATTGACGTCAGGTGCGAGCAACTAAGACAAAAGCAAACGTTGTGACTGCTCTGGCAACGAGTGATGACTAATAACACTATACTCCTATCCGGAGCCGCTGGTACTCATATATTTAAATATATTTTTTATAAACTCAGTATGAAAAATTTAAAGAAAGACTTTTTTGTCACTTTGAACTTTTTCTAATAAAAATTTTGCTATTTATTCGTTAATTTTAAAAAATTCAGTTTTTATGTTCTTACAATAATAATTTATAGATTACTATTTATATGATAAATTACTTATTTATTAGTGTTTTTGTATAATTTTCTGGATTTATTTTTTTGTTTTATTCCTTGAATTTTCTAGGCCATGTTAAAAATTTAAAAGCGCATAAAGGAGTTACCTGACTTGTGGTTCATGAACTGAAAAAAGACTAATCCTTCAGTAAATATTTTAATAATTTTTTAATTTACTAAATTTTGTTAAAGTTGAGATAATAACTTTTGTAAAAGATGTAATTTCCATTAAAGTTATTATTGTTTGAAAGGATTTTCTTAATTTTTTTTCTTACAAATTAACGTTAGATTCGTCGCACTCTGAGGAACTTGCGTTAAGTTCTTTACATCATTCTCTTCTCCACCAGTTAAGAGGTGTCTGGTTTCAAACATCTCCTTAAACAAAGTTCACTATTTAAAGAAGTGACCGAACTATTGGGTATTAAGTCTCTGCTTTGATTTTTAATTTCGTCTCAGTTAACTTTCTTTTTCTAATACGAACAACTATTTAAGCGAGTACGACCGTGTAACTTTTTATCACTACTTGGAATCTCTTCATGCATCCTCTAACGCAGAAAACTTTATCGACTTTAAAAAGAATCTGTGGCTCCTGCTCGACCAATCAGCCCTTCTTACAGGTCTACTGCTCGCGCCAAGTTGGCTCGTATCTGTTCTTCGTTCCTGATATAACCAATAGCCAGCAAAATAGGGCGTGTATACAAAAATAGATCAGAACAAACTTCTGGCCTTCGAGCAATTAAATGTAGAGCGCTGTTGTTTTCCGCGGATTGCTAGTATTTATTATTTTTCAGTTATGTATATATATTTCCATGTGGAAAAGAATTCGAAGTGGAAGCTACTAGAAGAAGTACTCTAGGAGATCAAAAGTGGCTTGACCCCGTCGTTTGTTTCCTTGCTCCTGTATGGTTACGGTTGCAACAGACATGAACGCCTACCTAAGTTTTAGAGGAAACGTGATAATCTTTGCTTAAAATGAAATTACCTGCGCCCCTAATTTGAAACTTCTTGTTGGTAGGAGGTTTCCTCTCCATTGTAGCTGCTCTTCAAAACGTTGATGCCGTTGCACTCAGAGAAGAAGATGCTGATGGCTCTCTACAAGCAGTACCTTCAGTGTAAGCCCGCTTTGTCCACTCTAAACCACTCACCGTTAGACTCCGCCGTATGAGCTGCGCTCTTCTTGCATTGTTTTTGTTTTTCTTATTGACTCTGTTTGTGATTAAGAGGAACCCGCAAAGAAGCATTCACAGCATTCATCTAAAAAAGGTTGATCTGCTTGCCACAGAGAGGATGTACGTGGTCATGGTTACTTACTTCCAAGGGCTGCAGCGTCGCCTAGTCCTGTTGGCTGAGGACTCTGCCCCCGGCGCTTGGAAGGTCCGGCACTATCGTAGACGGGCCAATGATATGTAGCCACACGAACCATGCCGAGTGTCGTGAGTGGCCAAAACTGCAACTTAATATCAAGGTAAAACTATTTTAAGTTTTTGAGAATCTTAAAAAAACTATATTATTTACTATAACATGAATTTTGAAGGCTTAACCATATTCTTCTTTGAGGTAGCTTATTTATTTAGGGGTAAATACTTTATTAAAAATAGAATTTGTAGTTTAAGCCTCCAATAGATGAGTTAAGTATTGTAATTTATGTGGTAAAATATTTTACTTCTAGTTTGAGATAAAATTGTAGCAATGAGTGAATAATCGGCCATTTTTTAGTTGTGCAGGCTAACTACAAAAACAGTAGTAAAGTGAACAAATGAGTAATAGTTTTCAAAAGGCTTTGGTTAGTTGTTAATTTTTTCAATCGAGCTTACCAACAGTGATTCTCTTCTAAGGCAGAGAATCGTGGAGGCACTAAAACGGCTATAAATGAAACAGCAGCAGAGAGGATGACAATTACCACAAGACAGGTCGTATTAAACGGGATTATGATATAAGTGGTCCTATAACGCTAATGGCTACCACCGGATTCTCCGGGCTAAAATGGTATAATGATTTACTTCAATAATTAAGCTAACCTAACTCTAGTAGAATCGACTTCATGGTGTGCGGTAGTAAACCCCGTAAGCGAAAGTAACATGTTTCAGTTGAAGTCGTGGTCCGGAAGGCAGGGCACCAAACGATTGGAGACCGTTGTAAGCTTGGCCTTTGAGCTGATAGCGAGTTATAATATAACTGATCGCTCACTGAACGCTCAATATAAAAAATGAGTACTACGTCCACGTAGAAAAAAAAAAAAACTGTAAAAGGAAGTTTTTTGACTTGAGTCTTATAATACGACAACACATGTGTCGCTTCAGTTAGTTCAATGAACGTTATTCATGGCTGTCGAAACCCCAAAGTATTATTAAACAAGTAACTACCCCTCTATACTCCTTTACGATTTTACTTAAGACGTCTGTAGGCACTTAAAAGAAGTGATGGACAATATTAAGATCGGGTAGTATCACAAGAATATAATGATAACGATGAAATGAAAAAATTGACTGTAAGAGGTAAAAAAGACGTTAAACCTTTTTACTTATTGAGCATATTCAGCCATTACAGATGCCTCGAAAGCACAATCACTTTAATTAACATAAATTCTACTTGAAATGACAGCTAAAAACTAGCTTCTCCTATTTAAAATGAATAAGTGATCCTAACTAAACAAGATACACACACTACAAAGAACGTTATTTCGAGGGTCATCTTAACAAGTGCGTAACAGAAACAACCACGGATTTTAAGTTACTAATAAAAACATTTCAAACTAGCATTAGTTGTGAAACTAATAAGTTATTCAATACAATTAACGAACTCCGAAAATGAGACCGAGGTAAGAAATACTAGCCCAAAGTTTAAACTTAGTCCCAATTTAACAATAAATAATTAACGACCTATACTAACTTAAACGTGTAAAATAAAGGTTACCTCACGGGCATACACGAAAAAAGAAAATATTTACAACCATATTTTTTTTGGTACCATGCGATATATGTATGAAACTTTAAATGCCAAAACGAAAAAGCTACTTAAAATAGAAACTTATTACCATATCTAAAATGGGGAAAGCAGTTATGCAAGCGCTTTACCATAAGCTGTTCTAACTATGCAAGGAACATATACGCTACTATTGCCATAAATGCTGAAGCTATAAAGGTATAAATAAAGTTACATAACTAAAGAAAGCATCTTTTAAAGCTGTGAGTAATAAAACAAGGAGGAGCGTAAGTTTAAATAATAATACATTGCTGCCTTTTTAAAAAAAATTAAAAGGGATAACGAAACTAAGTTAATTATAGGGAACTTCTCAAATGTTCGGGTAGCCAACCACTCTCAAAGACTGTCCACAGTATATTATATTCTCGGCGAAAGAGCAAAAATACATTTCAAGTAGCAATGAGTTTTATTATATTCGGGCCTGCTATTAACTAGCCCTCTTTTACAGATGAAGCATACGGGTTTAGCTTTAACTCTAGCTTCAATCCCGCACACCGCACAATGGATGTCCTGCAAAGGTGGGTAATAAACATAGTATTAAGTATCTTTTGTGGTTCTGTGACTGAGCACTTGATTCCTTGTGCTCTTAGGCTAAGTGCAATATGTACAAAACATGCTAATTAGCTTGTTCTTTTCAAGTGGAACAAACACCTTATGTAACACTCAAAGCAATTTGAAAGCGTCCTATGGACCGATATTGTATTAGGTATCTAAGACTCAAGGGCTAACGGCCATACGGTTATACGACCGTAAAAGCGTAGGCGGATTCTAACCCAGGATTGAAAGATTATTCCTTAGCGAACTAGGGCGATCTTGTACTTAAAAGTGCTTTAGAGTGGTAGTTTACGCCAGATCAGAAAATTTGCTTTAAAAATAATAAGAAACCTAGCTATACCTATGATCTGCGCAAGTAAGATTTTTCTTGCCAATCTCTATGATAGAGTAACACTGAAACCAAGCCTAGTTTAATAACGTGGAAATATTCTAATTACGTCAAAGCATATGCCATTTTTAAAGTTAAAAGTTTGTATTGAGCTTTAAATACATTTAGATATTAACGCACGGTTCCCCAATATACAGGGAATAAACTCTAACGAATGCAGGAAAAGTTGCATATTACTTTTTTTTTTAACAACAAACAAAGCTTCTGGGACCATCGTTTATAACGTAGAGGTGATGATTTTTGAATTTTAAACGTTGGTATCCGTTTTTCTTCTTTATTCGAACGCCAAACGTTATTTAAGCTAATAGACGCTCTCTTTTCTTAAAGTATCCAGAAATTGTGCAAATAATTAAAATTTAAGACTTTAATTTTCTGAATTCGATTAGGTGTTTTTTATTGTAAGTAAAGCAAATCGCATTAACTAAGGTCGGCCGGTAAACATTTTAAGGAGGTTGTAATATTAATTCTTGAGACTGCAAAGCAGAGCAGGTGGACTATATACATTCTGACTTTATATATAAGAGGTAAATTTTAGCTTCAATTAGCTTCTTGAGGGAGGTGTTAACTTTTTAACAAGGTACTCAACAAAAAGCTTACAAAAACCTAGAGTTAATATTAATTCGAAAGTATTTTAACCAATTACACCCAAAAAAAAAAAAGAGAAAAGTAAATTCTGATTATCACCTTTAGGCAATAAACATCGCATAACATTTATTAAAGTTTACCTTAACTTACCCGTCAGCAAACCGATTTCAAGTAAATAAAAGCAGGCCTGCTAAATTAATAACAATGTAGGTGGTTTTGAATTAGTATATATGACGGTATCTCAGGGTACAAAGCTAGGGAAAATCTGTTGGCAGAAAGAAAATTTCGCCACGGATATAAAAATATAGTAAAGATATAATAAAGAGCTCTTGAGGGCCTCAGCTTAGTAGATCTTAGCAGCGAAAAAGTCCTTGCTACGAATAACCTATTGCCAGCAAAAATCGCAAGGCACGTGTTAAAATTCTGGCCCGTGCTTTATCTTTATAAACATGCCTATCTTGACACACTTTATCAAAAACATTTTCAAATTTTAACTAACTAGTTGCGATTTTTTATAATTAAAGGTTTCTAAGTTGTTCGTCAAAATTTTTAATAACTACTGTGGTGTTGGCTTAATGCTCAAAAATTTAATGAGTGAAGGAATAATATTTGCAGACTTTGCCTACATTTGTAAGTGGGAATAAAGTATGACTCCAGCAAATCCGTTAACCCAGGAAAGTAAACTATTAGGTTACTTTTATGGTGTAAAAGTAACTTCTAATGATTTCCAGCTTGTAAAAAGTACTTACAACGGCCGCTGCATGAAGAGATCTTTTAGCATCAAACTCGATATAACATCCGGGTTTAAACTTTTTAAGTTAATTTTATTAACTTCGGGTCGTAAACACTTGAGGATAAGGAAATAAGGAATTTTAGCGGAAGGAAGTTAATTGTGGTTATGTACGTAGTATTCTTTTGTATTACAAATAATACTGAAGGGATAGGGTTAAGGGTTAGCCATATGTATCCCTTGCCAAAAGCAAATTTCATTTAATTCTTAATTTTTTTTTAAGGCAAGGGCACTATGTAAAATTTAGTGACACGAGTGCTAATGTTTTGCTTTTGAGGGCATATTATTATTATTTTTATGTTTACAGGTGTACTATGTTTTTATCATATATTTGTTTTGTCTGCGGTTGGTCTTCGCGTATTACTTATACAATTTTTTGTTTTCTGGGTGTCAAAGGTATAGAGTTTTAAATATTTTGCGTTATTTTTAATATAAGAATTGTACTAGATTTTATCTTTATGCCCTCAGGTGGAATTGTCTCCGTTGTTTGTTATTTATAGTCGTTAACGAGTACATTAAAATTACAATCTCTTTGCTGGGTATTCTTTAGGGATGTTATCCTTGTTCATAGCACACTAAATTTCTTATTTTATTAATTTTTTTTTACTATTTTAATTAAGGATTCTGCATTTTTTGTCTTATGTTCCGCCTAATGATATAAAAAATGTCGCCCTTTCTTAATATTTTTGCTTAGTAAAGGGTTGCGGTAGATGGCTTTGAACTAGAGTGGCAGTTGGTTCTATTATTTTTCACGAATTTCATATTTCATTTGGAGTTTATTGACAAGCATTGTATGAGGGGCTCATGGTATTAAAAACTGCTTTATTTATGGTTTCGTCCCAGTACTTTGGTTTCTAAAATGTTTTAAATTCACCTTAACATGTTGGAAAGAATCTGTGTCGCTTATACGTTGAGCATTTATTTGAACAATTTTTGGGTTAAGTGGTTATCCTCCCAAATTGTATACGTAGTTCCATGGCCCACCCGAATCTCTACAATGAGGGCAGCGTGACTTAGTTACTTTGTATTTAATTTGTCTATTTTTGATTAGTTGCCCGTTGTTAAGTATTTGCTTGAGCGGGTTTCCTGTTCTTAAAAATCTTATAAATACTTTCTCAGTTTTAGCAGCTGTAGCAACAACGGCCTATTTATACCCGTGTATGCATGCTCCCAACGTAGTACTTTTTCGGATTTTCTATTAAATTGTGCATTATTATATCTGCTAACGCTTGTTTAGTTGCTAAAATGGTTTATTGTTCAGATTACATAATTTATGAATTTATAGGGATAATATTATAGTTTGTATTCTTTTGGTAGCTTATTTGTTTTCCCTAGTCGTGTGTACTGTAAAGGTGATCTTTGTTTAAATATTTAATTTTGTATAGTCCCTCCACTTTGTGATCTTGAGGTAGTGTTTAATTTTTGTCTGTAGATTAACACTATATAATTCTTAGTCGTTTATACGTGTCCACCAACCTCGAACTTTTCTTCTGGTAATAAATTAAGTTTAAAGTTAAGGTTGAGTTTTGCTTTGCCTAAAACTAATTATTTATAAATTACCGTTTACTTCACATAACTTCTGCTATTTACTATGTTAATTATATTAGTTTAGTGTTTGATCTAAGTAAGTAGCGTTATTCTTCTACTGTATGTGGGTCAGCGTCTGTCTTTGCGATGAGGTCGTAGGGGCATGCGAGTCTACTCACGTCTTAATTTTTTTGATGGTGAGTGTGCTTTGCTTTGAGTAGGATTACCTGCTTCGTCCTTGTGGAATAGACCATCGTCAGATTGCGCATTAACTTATGTAAAATTACATGTGAGGCCTACGTATGCTTTTGGAGGCTCTTTAAAATATGACCTAATTTTTAACAGTAGGTGCAGCTAAGCGTACGATAGTGTTGCAAGACGTGACTGTGCTTTCTCTGTCTTTATAACAATAAAACATGCTATTTGTTGGGTTTCAAGAATTTAAGTTATCTATTTGGGTTTAGTTTTAGTAGCCAGTACATGACTTGTTGCGCAATCCTTGTTACTAATAAATGTGCAAACTACTTATATTCATTTTATTATCGGCGTGAAATAAAGTGTTTAGCTCTATACCTGTCTATTTTCCCTTCATTGTTTGCTTAGCGTCGTTCTAAAGATACGGCCACGTATTAATATTGCTTTCCTTCTTTGTACATGATTAAAATCAAATTTAAATAGAGTCATAAAGACATTTATGTGGAGTTTAATTTGTTTACTATTACAGTTTCCTAACAATGCTGATATTTGCTCCATGCTCTAAGTATATTGTTAAGTGCTCTCGTGATCCCCTTTAGAAATGTTGCATAGTTCTTAGTAAATTGGTCATTAAAGTAACCAGCCATTTTTTGCCAGAATACTTTTACCCTTTCGTAGCGTGATCTTTGGACTAATAAGTCAGCTCTTAAAGTCTTGATTTAACTTCTTTTTTAATAATTCTTCTTTGCTAATGAAATTTCCTCCAATTTTTTCATCTTTATAAAGAGTTCATGAATACTATTTTTTGTTTAGCGCAATTTTAGTCCCTTAACCGTTAGCCGGATTCCCTGATATCTTTTTCTTTTCATGTAGTAGGTTGTTGTTCGCATCCATTTACCTCAGTGTAATAGGGACTAAATGCTAATACTGTGAAAACAATATACGGGAAAGCAAAAGAGCAGAGAAAATGAAAACCTGTTGCTAGTTTATGTAGTTAAAGTTGATTAATTAAGTACTAAGCACATTATAAACCAGATTACCTCAAAGTGTTGTTGTGCGGTTGTTACATCTTAAATTTAGATAAATTTTCCTGTTACAACTAACTTCGAAGTACAGATATTTCGTATGTTCAAATAACTTGCAGCAAAATTAATCAATTAATTTTAACACTTTTTTAAGACTAAAAGAAAACGGGAATAAATTTAATGTTTTTTATAATTTTTACTTTATAAAAATGAGAGGGAAAGGGGGCCCTGTTTATACCATATTTACGCGATAATATAACTTTGGTGTGGGTGAAACCCCAATTCTTAGTTATTTTTAAATTACTGTTTGTTTTTATAAAAATATAGAGGAAAATGACCCTGAGCTCTTTTTCGAGTGGAGAAGATAAGTGTGCTACATAAATTTAAGATATATTAAACGTCTGTAGTCTTGTTTACTAGGCGCATGGACCCTCAGCCTTTGTATCCGATTTCTTACTACTGTACAACAAGGGCGCACATGGAAAATCTAGTACCAAACATTGTCGTATTTGGTTAATTATTTATGTATTTATACGAGAGAACTGAACGTCTATTCTCTCTGGTCTTTGTCTTTTGGATGCGTTGATTTTTAACTGATTGACCGAAAGAAACTTTTTAAGAATACTTTTCCTAGTCAGAACTCATAAAAATTAGAGAATTCTTCTCCTCTGAAAAAAAATTAAATGTAATATACGGTTTATTTAAAATTTATAAAAATGGAAAACAATTTTTTGATAGTATATAGCACCTGGTTAGCAAGGTTAAAAAAAAGGTTGAGGGACATTTGCGTTCGGAGTCTGTAAAATATTCTAGCTCTGGAGAGATCTTTTGTTAAACTCATTTATTTACGGGTCTTAAACACCCAGGATCACTTTTTTCTTAGATATGACCCTTTTTTTCCGGATAAGTGCATGTTTTACTAAGTATTCTCATAGCCTCGTTCAAATTATATATTAGACTTTATATGTTGAGGTAGTCTATATATGCTGTCTGAGCTAAAAACATCTAGGCATGTTGCGAAAATTGTCAAGATACACTGAGGTACAAACAAGGCCAGTATTTAAAGTATTCTCCTAGTACCAAAAGGTTGTTTCTGTACTCAGCAACTACACCAGAAACGTTTGATTACGAGTTTACTAAATTAGGGCCAGATGCTTTATTTCGTGGTTCCCAGTGTTAAAAGCAGTTCTTTCGAGCCATCCGAATTAGGAGTACATTGCCGAAAAGAGGCATGCAAACCTAAGTCTTAGTTGTAACACACATACTGTATCATTCCTTTTTCGCTAAGCATGAGTATTGACCAAAACCAAAAAAGGGATCGTTTCCATTAAATTGAATAGGAAAAAGAACGTTGCCTATAAAAATCTTAACGACTTGTAATTTGTTTGAAAATAATAGAACTAACAGGAAGACCAAAAGAAGTGGTTTTGCCACCGATCCGCAGTGCCAAATAAAGCGTACATAAAATCAGCTTCCTACTGGAAACCTTGAATTTTGCAGGATACGCATTAATTTCTTAATAAGGCATTTTGCATAAATTTTAAATAAAATTATTCCGCTTTTAGGTAATGTGGTAAAGTTTTATTATAATCACTTTTATAACGTCTTGGTCTTGAGTAACACCAGGTAGTTTAGGAGCTAAGACAACCTCGTGTTTCTCTGGCCATCTCTTTCGAATATTTTAGGTACCTGCTCGCTACCTATTTTAGCAATTATAATTCCTTTTATCATTCCTCCACTTTGCAATTCATCTAAACAAGAATTTAACTACTACTATTTTAGAAGATTTAGATCTGCTCTTAATGACCTCAGGATAAAGATACTAAGATAGCGTAAAGTTACAACACATTTCTTTTTTACTCCCTCTTTTAAATGTGAGGGTCACGCGTGTCGAGAAGCGTAACCAGCAGGTACACAAATCTTGAAATTAAAGTTGTTAGGTTAAAGCTTAAATATAAAGCACCCCAGAATTTATATGGATATAAACCTCTCTAATTATTAAAAAATAAGGTCGTGGGCAAATAGTTTTGTAAAACATAAAACCATACTTTTTAAAAAAAAAGAAAATAATAGTAACTAAAGGTAGAGTATATATAACCATAAAACCTACGCCCGCGCATATATTTACTCAAGTAGGGAAATTAAAACGCAGATAACTTTATGCCTTGCTAAAAAGGCTCAAGTTTACTGTTAGTACAAGCAACAAGAGAGTACTAACGGTTTTTTGCTTCTTCTAAGAGTTACTCTCTTAAGTCAGTTTACTGTGCGCTTATTATTTTTGACCACATTATTTGTTTTCAAAAGAATAAATAATACTAGTTTTTAGGTGCGAACGCCAATAACGAGAGAATACTGAAAATATATATTAAAAGCAGGTGTAGTCGTATTAATTAGGAGTCTTGCTGACGCGTTTGTAAGTGTTTTATCGTTACCATTAAAGGAAAGCTTTATTGTAGTAAATAATAAGGTAAGGAAGTTTAGCCGTGAAAGTTGAATTGATTTTGTAAGCTGGTACACCATTAAATACTTATTTAATTCTTTTCAATTTTCAGACCTTACCAAAAGTATACATAGTTCAAGGTAAGTAGTGGTTGACTGCAAACACTATTAACAAAGTCAATACCTGCAGAGTCGAACAGCTTAGCCCAAGCCGAAAGCTCCGCGTTGGAACTGCATGATATAATATTTTTAGTGTTAGATATATTTAAAAAAATATGAACTAAAATTTGTATAAACGGTCATCGTGAGAGCTTAAAGCAAAAGTATTGCTCACCGTGCTTCTAAAAACTTCTTTCCGATTTCAAAATTTGCTCTTTCTGCGAAAAAAAATTAAAGAACTCATAAGTGAGGAAAAAGAGATACAAAAATTACCAGAAGAGTGCTCAGAGGCGGCCTTATAGGTGATGCTGTACTTCTCAAGATCAAGACTGGCAGACAGCAAAAATTGAATCAAGAGACGTTCAGTCTTTTACATATGAAAACACACCAAAACTTTGGCTTCTCTCTTTTCCTAAAAGAACTCATATTGCTGTAAAAATAGAGAGATTTTTCAGAGGTTTGAAAAAAGCAGATCTTTTCTCGAAACTTTCTCTTGCCAAAAAAGGAAAAAGAATCTGACCCCGCTATAAAGATGCTTCCTAACTTTTGTTCTTGGTTATATATAAAAAAGTTGTTTCATAAAAAAATAAACAATACAACATACTCGTAATTTTTTCAACTCTTTCATCGATAAAATGTTTAGTGTTAGAAACCACTCTTTCCACTTGGGTAAGATATTTTTTTAAGTGGTAGTTTTTTTCAGTAGCTAAAAAAGTTAAGACAAGTAGACAACGGATTGGAAAAAAGGGGTATTGAATATATATATAACCAAGGGAGAACTCTTCTTTCGAGATATAGCCGTCGTTGTTTTCATCAGCATCCTTAAATTCCTCGCACAATTTCCAGTAAGTAGCGTCCTAGTGGAGTCGATATGTGGAGCAAAAAAGAAAGAGGTAGAATAAAAACAAAGGAATCAGTTTCTTTTAAGAACTTTTGAGGGAGTCAAGGTTCTCAGCATACTTACAAAGTCGTCAAGCTCCAGGAAGCCTTCATAAACTAGTATTTTAGCAATAGAAGGGGTTGACGGGATAAAGAGATACCCTTCCCCTGGTAATCAAAAAGGTCGAAAGCGTAGCCTAAAAACTGTTCTCGCGGTAACTTCAATTTCGCTGCAAGAAGCAAGAAGATCTTCCGCGGGTCCACCTTGCCTATTAAAATCAAAGTGAAGACGACAACAAGCGAGCATAAGAGGCAATCACCGCCGCTTTGATAGCTTTCGACCAATTTATCACAAAAGCCGTAGTCTTTTTTATTATTTTATAGTAAGTCGTGCCAAGCGCTATAAAGCTGTTCAACTCCTCTAACCTGGGAGTTGGATAGTTTTGCAAAAAAACTTTTTAAAAGTCGCTGCTTCAACCCAGTAACTCTGGTTGGCTATCGAAGTACCCAAGATATATTAGTTTGAGAGCTTTCTTTGTTTAAAAATATTAGTTATACCTCGAAACTTTTCTTTAAGCAACTGAAAGAGATTATGCACATCTTTCGCCTGAACGTCAAACTCAGTGACTGCCTAACAGGTAAATAGAAAGTTTGTCAAAATTTTGTGAAAGCCACTAGCACATGCCAGCGAAGTGTATTCGTTTTTGATGCCCTCCGTTAGCTGGAACAGCCGTTTGGTAGCAATAATAGCTTTAATGACCTGCTCATTAGCGAGTGCAGTGCAAATGAACACGTGCCCCGTAGTGTGGTTAAAAACAAAAAAATACAGCACGCAGTTTATTTTTGGCATTAAAAAGTCTTAGTGCTTCAACTGTCTCGTTTATGCTTCGGGTGGCAGCGGCCTCGCCTACTTAAAAAATGAACGAAACGACTTCGGGACACAAGAGTTACGTATTTACACCGTGCGAAGTAAGGTTTACAGTCACGTTAAAAAGAAAACGACCTGTCATCCATGGATCTTCAAGGACCTCATAAATATTCTTTCGCTTTTCTTTCTGCTATAAGAACCATAAAAGATTTTAACAGGTTATTGTAGGAAGGGTAAATCATAGCGCTTTTTCTACACTATTATTTTATTAGCCTTTCTCTAACTATACACTATTAGAGAAGTTTATCTTCGCGTTGAATACGAAGCGGTTATAAGGAAAAGTGCAAAGCAGCTGAGTGGAGTCCTCTACCGACCATCTTTACAAAGTCAAGAACTTGAAAAGCTTACTTTCGACAACAAGTTCCTAAGCAACTCTTTGCAAGGAGACGATATACGCAAATCTATTATACAGAAAATGAAGTGCGTTACGGCTAGTTAACTCAAGTAGTTAGGGAAAAGAAATTCGCCCTTAAATCGTTAGTATTGAGGTTTGAGCCTCTTTGCATAAATTTTAAGTCCGGAATGTACACCGTTAAAACTTTCTTAAATTACTTAACGGAAAAAATTTAACTACAGAGACTTTACCTTCATAAGAGGGGTGGTGCGAGGAACATATCATACTTTTGGTTTCTTCGTCGGTACCTGTTTTAAAACGGACGACTCAGGCATTCAAAGGCAAAACTAATTAAACTTGAGCGGAGTAACCCACCATAAAAAGGAAAACTGCCTTTAACTAGAATGTACAAAATTACACCTGAGCGATGGAACAATTAGAAGTGTAGTATGTCTTGTAAGAGCGGTTTAACCTATACTCCAGATGTCAGAGGTTTCGTTATAAGGCTGGCTAAGGCATCTTTCCGGTGCCATGTAGTTGAGGGTCCCGATTCCACTGTGCTTTTCTCTTTTAATATTGACTTTATCTACTTCCTTCATAATGTTGGTGAAACCATAACAGATAAACACCAAGAGTTTGTACTATTGCCAATCCAAAATCACAAAGCTTTAATGCATTTAGAGCTATTTTTTCATTAAAAACCGTTCCTCTGCGTACAAGAACATTTTCAGGTTTCAAGTCCCTATGAATTATTTGGTTTTTATGGCAGTGCGCTACTGCTAAAATAACATTTTAGTTAAACTCAAGTATGAAAATGGATGCGTAAACAATTAAAGTAAAATAACAGCGACGCAAAGTTAGGCGAGTCAATATCAAGCGACAAATTGCCAACAATAGCATATGTAAAAGTAGGTATTCTAGTGAATTTGTATTTTTAATACCATTGCAAACTTGTCTTAATATCAATGCAACTGTGGCCTCACTATAGGCTTCGCCGTTCTCCAAGTTATACAAAAGTATGTCCAATAATTCTCCTATGTAAAAGGAGTTTACTTTATTTTAAATCATGACTTCGAAGGAGAAACCTCCTTCCATGTATTCAAGAACAATGTAATAACAAGTAGGAGATTCATAAAGTCCCACGTACTTGATAATGTTTTCTAAGTAAAACAAAAATTATCAGCGCTTTTATAAGTTGTAGGCTTAAAGCTAAGTTAAAAAGCGCATTCATTTATTACAGTTAACGGTATGACAGCAAGGGACTAGTATATATCTTAAATTAAAAACCATGGCGTCCAAGTTTTCTGAGTAGACTGCACTCTACACCTAAATTCATGCCTAAAAATGCTTGTGTTTTTTTGATCCTTTTTATGGCCACCAAGTTACTTTGATCATTTAAAAAATGTCCTAAATAGACACTAGAAAAAGCCCCTAATTGAAAGGTTGAATTAAAATAATTACGGAAAAAAAACTGAGCTGGATTGTATTTTAAGAAACGTGATAAAGTGAAAACCTTCTCCAATAGATTTTAGTAAAGTAAAACTTTCTCTTGCCTGCCCGTCGATCAATGATCTCAAAGAATTATTTAACTCTTTTTCCATTTTTTCAAATATTTATATTATCGACCTTGCTCTTGCCTGTGCATGAATGTACGGATGCCCAAACTACTTTCGGATGTAAATTGCTTGGCGACCCATTCCCTATCTTCGTAAGGATATCATAGTGATACCAAATTTGGTAATAAAGTTTTAGTTTAGTTTCAGGTATTACGTGGTTTAATCACAACTACAATTAAATTGGTTACACTTATACATAAATATACATATTTTTTCTCTAAATTGCCTGCAACTTGTACCCTTCATTAACTCTTTTTAACTCATTTATTAAAGTTCCTTATATACAATTCAAATTAGTTGAGTCTCACCTCCCGTAATTCTTACGTAGCATTTGAATGTAATTAGCCGATTCAGAACTATAAACACTTAATACCCCTTTTTTTTAGGGCAACGAAAAGTTAATTTATGAGCGTGACTGTTTTAACTCCACTTTTCAGAGGATTTGAAAGCGCAAAAAAAGTTTAATTGAAGTAGCGTTGCTAAAGCTGGCATTTTCTTTTCACAAAATTAAAACTGGTCACTTTTTTTTATTGCCAAACCACTGAATTGCTATTATGTAATCTCCCCGAAAACAATTACCTAATAAGTAAATTTAATTGTTTTAGTTTTGCGTTTATTGCTATCAGGGTCTACTACTCTACGCTTTCAAAAATCTTCTCATCCAATTATCTCTTTTAATTAGAATGCAAAAATGGATTATTTTTGCAAAAGCTGGGATTAAATGATTCTTTTATCTTGCGGAGAAAAACTTATATTGGGCGTTAGTTACTGCTTTAATCTATAAAAAATTTTTAATAATCATAAGATGTCGGATTTCTTTACTGAGCGTGACATAGTTACAAATGACAAACTGTATTAAAGGGTTCCTTTGAATTATTTTCTTAAAGGTATCATGCCTCAAAGTTGCGGATCTATTTTTACTTTGTAGAACAAGTAAACTTCCATAGCATTATTGATTACTTCTTTACAAAGATGCATACGAGGTATTGCGCTTAATCATAAGTAGACAAAGTGTAAAAGCCTGAAAAAAAAAACCGTCTAACGCTAAAATCTATTTGGTCATTTAAAATTAGCTTTGTTTAAAATTTTTCAACTAGTAACAAGCTACGCTTTAAATAAATTACCAAATAAAAAAAGAACTAAGAGCCTAAGAAGAGAACAGAAAAAGCTTAGACTGGATAGAGAGAATAAAGAATTCGGCTTCAATTTTGGCCAGTGCCGGAAGTTTATATACCCTTAACTTTATAGTTATATACGAAACTTTTTTAAAATATTATTTTTTACTTTATATAATACGACTATATATGTATGATTTATTATTTGTTTTCTAAAAAGTGGTAGAATCTAGCTCAGAACTACTAACTGAATTGCTACCAACGGTAAAAAGACTTGGAGAAAAAAAAAGTTAGCTCATAGTAATCAGAGATTTTATATTTACGACCCAGTTAGAAGTAATAACACCAACGCTAATATTAGAAGTGCAAGAGTATTTGTAAACTATTAATAAAAATAGCAATATTATAATAATATAATAACAATAGTATTATTTTTAGTAACCCTAACATTCCCCCATCTTGCCAAATTTTGAACGTTCACCATTCTTAATTAAGGTATGACACACCCTTACCTTAACATATAATCTACATTATAACTTGAATTATAAAATACAGTTCGTAAACCATTATTTATAAATTTATATAAATTTGGTAATAATTATTTTTTTTTTGAGGGGGGAAGGGACGGTATTAGAACTTATGAGGACGAAGTTAACTACACGATCATTAAAGACCTAAAAAGAGTGTCCCGTCAGTGGAATTGAACCCATGACCTCGAATGTGAGCGTTAATGTTCTTAACAGCTGAGCTACGACGAGAACTTTCGATCCCGGTATGATGGTTTAATGTATTTAACCTGTTAGACGGACTCAAACCGGTGCAATTACACCGTTAATTTGTTATTCTAGAATGGCATTGTCACTAGTAGTGACAATAAAAGCGTAGGTATATATACCAAGGTGAAAGTGAATGTATAAAAATTTATTAGACAAATTATTAATAAACATTAGTAATTAGGTTGTCCCCTATACCACAAAACGTCCCACGCAGAAAGCAAGGGCAGAATAACTTGTGCACCTCTTCAAGGGTATGCTGCCTGTTTATATCCGTGGGCATGCTGATCAATAGACGCACGTGGCTAACAAAATTTTCCACCACGTTAGAAAGTAGCCCCCACCTCAACCTTTGTACGGATATGCTATTTTTATCACATATACGGACAGGTGTGTCTGGCAGACTCATTAAGTCTTTCTTTATAAACAATTTTTTTCAAAAATTCTTACTATTGTTACACCTATTATTAAATAAACCTAGAAAATATCGAATTTAGCTAAAATTTTTATCTAACATATACTTTTACTATGTATCAAAGTTCTTGGGGCATGCTTGTTGCGTACACTACTTTGCATATATTGCAACGTTATCTCTGCATCCTAGATTTTAACAAAAATAAAATAATAATTGCACGTTTTCTTATGTACTAAGATAACGGGATAAAGCTTTCCAATGATCATAAGAATTGCATAAATATGGCAATTTACTTTAAAATTTATGAACTTAGAAACTGATTTAATAAATTACGAATTGGAGTTAACTTATCTTTTTTAAAAGCTTTCTGTTCTCGTACTTTCAACATCAAATTTAGTAATTTCGAGAAGACTTTTGAAACGACAAGGCTACATTAGTAGCTCTGAAAATTGGAAGGCGGTAGTTAGGTTCCACAAAATTTCGTAACTTATGTTGTTAAGTTTTGAATGATCTAAAATTTCTTTTGCATCTTTAACTGACACATCTCGACATGAAGACATTCTAATATATAATTTATTAATTTATATATTACGCAAACCAATTCTTTCAAAATCTTATATGCATGATATATACCAGCTGCAAGTTCACTTAAAGTGATTTACTAATATCTAGGACGTAACACTAAAGTCGTAGCAATAATACAAGCTGATCACTACACCAGTTATAGCATGTTTCAACACGTAAAATGTGCATAGGATACTTTGCGCCCATTTAACTCTCATTTTCCGTTTAAAGATTTAAAAACATTAGCTTACAACATTTCGAGGTCGGGTAAGCAGAACACAATATAATTTCAGTAAAAGGATCTATGAATGTTAGTTAAAAATCCATAAAGCATAAAGCTGTAATTTTAATATTAACCTTTCGTTAGTGTGCTGCAAAATACCTTCATTAGTGTGAAATAGAAGATACCCTCCCCCCAAACAAAAAAATAAAAAATAGAATAAAAGATCTGTAGTTAATTTATTTTCCAAAAAATTTTCTCAATATTTTTAATAAGTTTACTACCTTTATCCGGAAAAAGAGGGACTTTTACTTTTAAGCTAAACATTAAATAATTTATTCACCCACTTTCTATCATATGACAATTTTATTGGTGGTAAGAATAACGTCTTGTTACTAAAAATCGTGCAAAGTTGTGAGAAATCAAACTATATTTTATAAGAACAGAAAGATTAACGGTAAAAAATATAAAAACAGCATGTAAATGTGATAAATAAGAAAAATCCTATGATTATTTAAAGTAGCGCAATCTTAGTACAAGATTGCATAATCTAGGCACAAGGAAAGATGGCATTTAATTTTAGGGCGGCTCTGCCTTATTTTTCGATAGCCCTCTAACATACCATACGTAACTTTTTTTTGAATGACTTTTACCGTAATCTTTAGTATTTGTTCTGTACATTATCTGCGCATTGACATTTCTCTGTTGAGTAAAGAGTAAAAAAATGTCATTATTCACCACCAAACATCACCCCTCCCTTCGTCTTGTATAGAATCCTATTAATTCTAAGAGTTGCTTCTCTAAACTTTTCTTAATATACTCGTCGGGGTGCTGTAGTGTAGAAATCAAAATTACAAGTTAATTTTTTTAGGTGTATGAAACGGCCTTAATTTTAGATAAAAATTCCAATTTTTTTCAGTGTCTACAGAAGTATCATGGTCCTATCATCATGCCCTTTCTAAAAAGCAGTCCATTATTATAAAAAATATTACATTATAGTGATTTAAACTTTGTTATTTTCAAAATAACTGAAAAAGTCGCATTTCGTGTGTGTTTATTAAGCATTCTTTTTGGATGTGAAATAGACACCGTTCAAGGTCAACAATGATTTAAAAGTGTTATAAGGAATCCTCTCCGTCGAAAACAACGATATGTCGGTGGTTGCTAAGTTTCTAATGGAGCCGTAAGGACACAGAGGATGTTGAACGCTCTGGAGGTTCAAAAGAAGCAGGTCCTTCAGAAAACGTTTTAAAATCCACAAAATTGTCGTTGATGATCTTGAACTGAAGGTGCATGTGTTAGCTGACATCGCAAAGATATTAATGGAATATGTAAGCTATATTATTCACGAACATTTGGGCATGGAAGAACTCTACTCCAAATGGGCACCGCGTTTGCTCTCAGTGGGCTAAAGACAACGTGTTGCTTAATTCTGGACGCTGTTTAAAGCTGTTTAAGCGACATAGAAAATTCCATTAAGCGATATATAATAGATGAACCTATATTCCAGCATTACACTCCAGAATCCGACCGGCAGTCAGTTGAGTGGAAAGCACAGAGTGAAAACCGCTCAAAGAGATCCAAAACTCAACGGCTTGCCAGAAAAGTTATGGTCTCCGTATTCTGGGAAGCGCATGGTATAATAATTATCGACTGCCTTTAAAACCATGAATAGCGAATATTATATAACACTTATTTCGATTGAAGGAGGAAATTACTAATGAAGGCCCCAAAATGGCGAAAAAAAGTGCTTTTTTATGAAGAAAAATACACCTTGTCTCAAGCCGATGGTTAACGATGGAAAAATTGCATGAACTAAAGTTCGGTTTGATTCACACCACTGTACTCTCAAGATCTGTTTCCCAGAGTCTAGTATCTTTTTGCAGATCTTAAAAAAAGGCCCCACAGAAAGGGG